ACAGAAAGGAAACATATTCACTAGCTGCTTTTATTGGTAGCTCTACACAAGACATAGACAAAGGTGGTAAACTGGTAATGGATTCTGAAAAGCTGAGAAATAAAATTAAAAAGTCAAGAGGGTACAACTCAGATACCAGGATATCATTAAAAGTAAGGAGAGATAAAGAAAAAAAATAAGTAAAAGGAGGGAGACAGGGAAGGAAAGCTCTTTGTAAAATTACCAGTAAGGCAGGGAACTACATTCTTTGAAGTTAGGGGCAAGCCAGAGCACCAGTTTACAGAGGATGAAAGATGTTTGATGACACAAACTAGTAACATTTAAAACCCAGCAACAAGGAGGTAGCCTTTGCAATGAAGATAAGCATTTTGTCACTGTTGATCAGCTAACTTGATGCTTTTATGTGGACACTGCCCTGATCTGCACACAGAGCCCTCAAGTTTATCACAAACATCATAGTCAAGGAAATGGGCTGCTTCTGCACGTAGGCTGAAGGTTGAGTGCAGCTTTTTGGTTGGCTGGTCACCCTTACACACTGTAGTGCAGAGATAGGTAAACACCACAGTGACTCAAAAATCCTCCAGGGACAGGTAAGTCACTGACAATTCATTTGGAAAGGGAGGAACATGTGGTGGGGCAAGCTAAAAGCAGGTCTACTTATCACAGTAATAAGACTAGTGAAAAATCTGCAAAAGATCTAGGGCCAAGTGTACAGCAAACCCCAAATTCAGAGAGGCCAGAAACATTGCCAGAGAGTGGGGTGATGAGAAGTAAAATAAACATTCACCTTTACTTATTTAAATTGCCAGTAGAGCACCTGGAGCCAGCAGATCAAATGATGTTAAATCTTAAAATATTAAGTTTAGTGGTCTTTTAATATAAATCATTCTGGGAAGAAGCTAATGAAACCTTATAGGTCCACCAGAATCATTGTGACTGAATTCAGGCAAGGACTCATTTTTATGTCTGCTGGTTGCCGAGGTTATTCAGATTAATTTATTCTGTTTCCAAAGACTGAAGAACTTCATGCTAAAGTATTCCCTTATTATTGATACACAAGCTTTCTTTGTAGCTTATTACTACATATAAATTTTATCTCTACAGGTGTCTGACCCAAACAAGGCATTTACGACAGCAGTAGCCGGAGATGCAGTATGGGTTTTCAAAGCCCATTTTAGTGAAGGTGGCTCCAAGAACTACTGCTGTTGAAAGGGTTAAACAGGAAAAGCTCAAATCACTACACACATAGATTAAAAGTTTGTCCTTGAGTAGCTTACTGCATGCGTTTCCAACACAATTCTGTATCCACCCAAAAAGTCCTGCAATGCCCAACTCTATCAGCAAGTTAGACAATTACAAGATATATTAAAAATCCCCAAGCCTTTATTTATAGGTTTAACATACTACGTATTTACTGTTCAGAATAATGTCCACAATAAGGCTGTGATAACTGACTTAACTTTGTTGTCAGAGTTTTAATTCAGTTTTACCTGAAGGTCTCTTAAATCTCTCTTTTAGAAAGACTTATCCTAGTCTTAGAAGGGAGTAGTGAGAACTTGGACAGAAACAAGACTAAAAGATTTCTAGCTTCCACATTTGTTCAAAGTCCGAAGTGGCAAAGCTGCAGGAATACGTACAGAGCAAACAACAGAACTATAGTAGATCATTAGATACTGCTTAGAACTAACTTTATTTTAGTCTCATGCTTGTAGTGGCGGCTAGCATAGCTGTACGTACCTAATAATTCCTGTCTTTCAGATAGGTTAGCATGTCAAATACACTGTGAAATCTAGGAAAACTTTCTTCTATAAGCCCCAGCAGAACGTACCATTAACACCAGCTGTATACAAGATCACCCTAAAATGAAACCTACTTGATTTCAGACTTAAATTTTAAAATTTCTCTGGTCTGCAATAGCATCGGTTACAATTGCTATATGTAGAGTTCAGTTCTGGATTTAAGTAATCACTTGACTTAGGGAGAACAAGAGGCCTAAACTCAGCTACAGAAAACATTCTGCAGTAAGATCAGGTATTAAAATTAGGAAAAACCCACACTCAATTAGCAGTTACAATACAGAATGTACCCTTACCCTCACCCCAAACTACTGCAACACCAGAGACAAGCCACCTCCTTACTCTTGTACTTCTTACTCAATTATTTCACTTTTCCACTTGGCAGAACACCTCAGCATGACATAGTGCAAGGCTCTCCAGAAACAAGTCACTGTATGTAACCTATTATTCCAGTTTGCTTCACTTGTTCACTTGACACATTTCAAAAGATTTTAGAATACGCATCTAACAGCAGCTGCCATTCCCCTACACTTCACAGGAATTGTTTAAAGCTAGGTTTACACCTACACGCCACGTTTTGGCAAAATAAGGTAAGGAATGCACTTAACAGTGACCTAGCATGCTAGAATCCAAAAAACCTAATTCTGACAGTGTGTTATCAGTGTTCTACTAAGTCTTCTGGTAAATGTATGAAGACTACCTATAAGGAAAAATGTTCCCATTGGCAAACCCAGTGTAGGACTGAAAGAAAAGAAAAAAACCCAAACCCCAAACCAGCAGCAGGTTGGCTTGTCCTTTAAAGGCCAGAAACAGACTGGCCATTCCTGCATGTGAAAGGATACCTGTAGCTAATGCAGTACATAACTGTTGAATACAGAGACTTCTTCTGTGCTTCTTTTCTAGAAGATGGGTTTGTGACTGCAGAAGGGGCTAAAAAATAGGGGAAAAAAATCCTAAGAATAGGAACAATGATATGAGAGAACAGAATGGGAGAAAAGGGAAGACCTTAAACTTTCATATCCCTGAACAAGAAACACTGTACTAAGAACTTGCACTGAACAGTGACATTTTCTCCTAGACCTTCCTCCACTACCATCAGAAGGACTCTGTGGAGAAGTCCTGAATTTGTAAATTTGCTCACAAAAGTAACGTAAGAGGAAAAGCTGAAGTGTTGAGAACTTGTACTAGTTTGGGAAGCAAGTCCCCTGAAGGTGACCTGACTAGAGAGTTCAGTTACAGTAGAGCACCATAATATACCACATAACATTCAAAAGGAGGAGGCAGATGAGGACAGAAGTCTGTCACTCCATGCCATTATAAAATGTGTAAAGAAGATACAAGCCCAACTCAGGAAAAGCACCAGATGTTTGCTCATCTGTTCCCTTCTCTGCTTACAAGGAAGACACAACAAAAAATCAGCCCTGTACAGAATTGTCTGTCTAATCTTTAAGATTGCTAGCTAGCTACTCAGAAAAAGATCCAAAATGACTTGGACACTCAGCACAAAAATAGATGGGAGTTTGCCAAGAAGGTAACACCGATGACTTAAATCTAACTCTTCTCCAGAGCTGCAGAAATCACACTACTTGGAGACCCAAGTCCAGAATCACTTGGAAACCTACATGATCTCATTTTTAATTAGGGCTTTAGTTAGCACATCAGCAGAAGTGCTATGTCCATATACAAACAGTACTGTATCAATAAAAATGTTATTTGGAAGAAGATACTCTAAAATTATTGCTTAACCATGGCACTTACAACCTGTTTATATTTTCAGGCACCTAAGTATCTTCTTTGATTTGGACCATAGTTCTGTTTTCTTGGAAAATCTCATCTCAGAATTCAGACCAGCTTTACAAAGAAAAATCCCATCAAATACCAGGGTGAATAGTTTTCTCACCCTGAAAGGCAGTAGCTCAAGACAGACAACCACAGTGCTGTAAAGTATGACAGGGCTGAAACTAAAGCCCCATGTGAAGATTCACTAGCCTGTGGAACAGACTTCTTGCACTTACTTGATTTTCATAACTCCAAATGTACTCACTTTTCTGCAATTTAGAAGAAATACCTTATTGCATTTCCCTAGAATTTCACAATACAGAAAAGTACTTGTTTGGACTGGCATGCTTTAGTTTGAGACTTGTATCTGTGATGTTCTGTGACCCTGTCTAGGTAACACAGAGGCAGTGTCTTGGCTAAGAGGTTTATCTCTAGACTGCTTCCTGACAAGAAAGAAGCAGGATTCCTGATACATTACTTAATCAGTGCTTTATCGTATTTATTTCTCAGAACTGTACAATTCCTTCTGTTCTTCTGGAACTTCACTGTCTCCATGAAAACTTAATGCACTGACAAGGTTAAGAAAAAGAATGTGTCTTTTTGTAAGAGCAAGATAGAACATACATGTGTGTATTTAGGGGTTATATTTTTCTCCTATAGAATACTGCAGTTGGTCCTATCCATTCTCACCAGATATACCCCCATCCTAAAAGAACTCTGCTCACCAGAGGCAAGGGCAGAATTAAGTCTCACTTCCAAATTCCGTCACCGGCCTTAACATAACACACTACGCAACTCCAGCCAAATTAGTTTCTTTGTTCCTTAAAATTAGGAAAAAATAACTGCTACTTCACAGTAGCAATGAACTTCAGAACTAGATTCTCCAAAGTGCTGTTGAGTTCCTCACATGATGAACATATTCATATTGCATAAGCAGAAACTGGGAGGTGACCTGATTATTTTTCCTTTAACTAAAAACAAATATGAAAATGAAATTATTAGATGAAAAATGTGTTTAATTACAGTGGTAGGTACCAAGCCACTCCTGAAATCAAGTGCATCAGTGCTACTGAGCAACAGAGCAAATCTACACAGACATCATTTATTCTATTTTGATTCCATTATAATTTGTTCCAACACATCCTTTGCTTAATCCAAATATACTTACCCAGAACACAATACAGGCTATACTTAGTTTTGTATTATTACTTAAAAGTAAAAAACTTGTTCTTAAACATTTTGGCTTCAAGAAAGGACAGCTTGTGAATCCACTGACAATCTCAAATTATGAACTTCTTCAGTTTCCAAAGTCCTATCACCACCTATCTCAAACTCTTCCACAGATCAAGCCAAATCTATGTTTAAAGTTCAAAATACAAAATATATGAATTATGTTTTTATAAAAATGTAAAAAGCTAGTCAAAATTACATGTTTAGGTATTTAATCTCTGAAGAATGGAGTATAGCAGCAGGAACTCAAATATCATAAGAACTATCAACAATAAATACAAGAAATTAGTGCAAAGATTGCAATAGAAGGATTCTTGACTACAGTGAGAATATAAAGAGACATTCTAATTTGTACAAAAACCATCCCAACTTTGTATACAATCTCTTCTATAAATACAACCATATAAGATGAAATGCTTATTTGCAAATAATAGTTATTAAAAAGTGTGCTTTATTGGGTTTTTCACTCTTTCTCTTGGCAGGTGTAGTTTGCAGGAAGTCTGTAAAGACAAATTTCCATAATTAGATATTTTAACTCTTCCAGAAGTTATGTTTCAAATACAACTAACAACAGATGCAGTACATACTTGATTTCCACAGAAAGCATTACTAGAACACTAAGCATCGTAACAAATCCATTTACAGTTAGCAATTTCTAAGTGTGTGATGAGGTAAACTGGGGGAAAAAAAGAAAAAAACCGAGTTCACTACAAACATTAAAACAGCAGTTTACCTATAGCGGAATATGAAATTGGCTGTGCATTGCTATTGCCTGTTGAAGTTTTTCCTCTTTGGCTCGTCTACAGTGGCAGAGCTACAAAACAAGACATAGGAAGAGTGAATTCTGAAAGAAATTTTTTATAATGCATACTACAGTTTCTCTTTAATGATTTAACTACTTTGCAGGCTCTTTAAAAAAGGAAAGCCCTGTGAACCACCTCCCTTCCAAGCTTCAGGCTGCACAACTGCCTATATTGATAACATTATTCCATCCACAACTGCTTAGAAGAGAAAAGAATTGTCTCTTATGTTATGAAATGCATTTATTAGGCATCTTTAAAGAAAGGTATACTACCTGGTAAGTTGCTTTTGTCACAGCATGAGCAAGAACAGTGGTTTTTGAACCTCAGTTACTTATTTGGTGATACCCATCAACAGAATAATTAGTTTAAGAAGTTTAATAAATTAAACATTAAGGTTGCTTAATATAACATGTCATTCTACGTTGGCTTACCAAATTTAAGATTGTCCATGTGGCCATCTTCCCTATATCTATACAGCATACAGAAGAAAGTGACACAAAAATATCCACAACACCACATGACTAGGGTCTAATGCAGGTGACTTTTGCACTCTCACCTTAAAAATATGTGCCTTCAGAATGCAGATTATATTCTAAATAGACTGAAGCCACTTAGGGATATATTTTGCTTCTGTGGGAGCTTCCTAAGCATTGTTCTGTATCACAGGACTGCTTAAACTCTAAGTCTTAAATTTATTCACTATGTGTTGTATATCTCTCAGATTAAAATGATTATTATATTACATACCGTTCTCTTTTCCATGAAACTACTAAGAAAGTCATCTATTTCTGTTTTGCCTTCCAAGAAGTCTTCTGCAATAGTGTCAGATTCCTCTTCAGCTTCATGTGCAGCTACTTTAAGTCTGGCTTGCAGAGCACTTGGACTGCAACTCTAAGAAAATAGAAACTCCTATGTAATGTTAAACTGTCCATCAAAACCTACATTTCCAAGAAAGATAAATGACTATATAAATGTGGAATATGTGAATAGAGCATTATTATTACATAAAAGCCTAAGTGACCAGATGAAGCTTCATCTCCAAGAAACAGCACAGCTTGTTAAACCAGAAAGGATTCTATGTGAGGAAAGCATTGCCAGTACAGGTCTTGATTCACAACCATTCTCACAAATGTATAAAGCTTTTGAACTTTCACTCTACATTGTAGAAAGCGTTCAGTTTGGAAATCTGACAGGTTTTTGAGTGCATGATTTCCAAGTAGAACTAGCATTCCAAGTGTCTTCAATAAATCGGATCTACTTTTGAAACTCAGTAGTGAGCCTGGGAAGTATAAAAAGGTAAAAAAAGCACTTACTGTTCAGCATTTAAATACCCCTGAAATGACTGTGGAGAGGAAGACAGGAAAGGAAGAAGCACCTACTCAAGAAGTAGATGGGCTGCTAATCTAAACCAGTATCCTCATCCTTCTGTTCTTATAAACTTCAAACCTTATTTCTGTTTATTGCATATAATTTCATTATTTTTCCTCTAATATGTTTGGGCAGTTAATCAGAACATGATTCACATCTTCAGTAGGAGTCTGTACAGAGCCAGAACTGCAAAATTAACATATTTATAGATTTTAGATGCTCGGACTACCCTTCACCTACCCCATGAAAAATATTTTACTTATGTACTGTAAAAATGTGATGTAATCATAAATTTCCTGTTAAATTAATTTTGTGAAAAATAAGGAGAGTTTGCTCTAATAAAAGATGACTAAAATTCACCCACAGTACGGACTTGTCTGGAACTCTGAAGGAGAGGTAACAGGAGATACCCAGTAGTGCACAGTGAACATCAATACATGAAGATACAGCATTATGTGGAAAACAGCACAAAAATCCAGCTGCAACTCCCCAACTCTCAGCCTCCTAACCATTATTAAATCGAATCAGCAAATCTAACTTAGAAAAAAGAAAAGGTAATATAGCAGTAGGGTATTATGTCCTGTTCTTAAGTGGCTTCTTACAGAAATATAAAATTTCTCAATGCCAACTACCTCCGCCCACTTCAAAGCCAACTTACATCACACAGAAAGGAAGCATTAGGAGTCAGTCTATTCTGCTTTTCAAGTAAGGAAACATTTAATTCATTTAGATCACCTATGAAAAAAATCAGTTTGCTGTCACGTAACTTTTGCTTGTTATTTTGTACTTTGTTACTTTTTGGGCATTTTGAAATTCAGGTAATATGCATACTATTCTAATGGACTGTTGTATTCTCAGGTGACAAGTCTTGCAAATAATGAAGATTTCAGTACAGAAATTGGCTCATGAGAAGTTACATCTTCTAATGCACATACTGGTAATTAGACTAAAAAAATTACTCTCCTTCCACAAACTGCTTTCTGAAGTAATGACTCTACCCTATGGGCACTTTAAAATGTGCAGTTTGACAGCACATGTAACATGTTGCCCAAAAGAAGCGTACCCAGTGAATCACAGAATGTAAGTTCCTAAACCAATGGTTTTAATCATTTTCATCTGTTTTTACAAGCTTATTTTGTTAAATGGGTGCCATTAATTAAACAAGCCTTCTTTAAAAATCATTCTGTTCTTAAAACTGGTTTGACCCAGGATTGTGCTTAAGAACAGCTCTAAATGCTTATCATGCTCCTTTCTTCCAACTTTGCTTCTATTGTAGTGTTAAAAAAAACCAAAACCAACCCAAAAAAACACTAGTGCAATCGTAACACTGGTTTGCTTTCAAACTGTTTGGTACTTCATCTCATTTTATTTCACACTTGATGTGAATCTATTTCATATAAAATTAGAGTTTAACCAGAAGAATATTCTTTATGGATAAAGATACAAATCAAAACTTCAGTTTTATTGAAGTATTCTTAAAGGATAACATGACATAGAGATTATACCTCACTAAGTTCATGCTGTCTTTGCATCTTTTTTTCAAAGGCTGCTTTCATCTGTGTGAGCTGCTCATACTGGAAGGAAGAAGAAAAAGAACGTTTTCCCCCTGATAAAAGCAGAATATTACAACTACTATTTCTGAAAAAGGTTTTATTGTTCACTTACTTTATCCAATACTGTCTGTCTTTTTGCCTCGAGACTAGGCTCCAGCAACAAGTTTTTTTCTGTAAAACAAAGTCACTATTACTACTTTTTTTAAAGGATTCAGTTCGCAGAACACAGCCACAGATGCTAATGTTTTGACATCTTACTTGCCAGCTCTTCAATGCTTTTCACTAACTCATCTCTATCAGTAAGGACTTGCTTCAGCTGTGGCAGAGTCACAAACTGTTCCAGTAACACTTCCTCTTGCTCGTTCATACTGGTCAGCTGCGATATACTATATTCAAACAGAAAGAAAGCAGATTTAAAGCTAACAGCAAACATTATGTGTAGAGTTACTCATTTCTGCCAGAAGTCAAAAGTTTGAGGCATTTATTGGGACTTTAAAGATACATGACACTTGACCACAACTTATTTTTTCCCTTTCTCCTGGACTGTGGGCTCTACTATCTGCAGCAGTGAGCTTAAAAAGCAGCGAGTTAAAAAATACCTCTCATTTCAAGCCTTACTTCCTATAAAGTGTTTTTTAATGCTACTGTAGTGGGTTGACCTTGGCCAGCTACCACATTCCCCCCAGCTCCTCTCTCAGTCCCTCTCCTCAGCAGAATATGGGGGAAAAGCTTGTGGGTCGAGACAAAGACACTTACCAATTACGATCACAGGCAAAACACACTCAACTTGGGAAAAATTAATTTATTGCCAATTATAATAAGAGTTGGATGGTGAGACAGACAAAAACTAAAACACCTCACCCCCTCTCTCCCCAGGCTCAACTTCACTCCTTCATTCCCAACTCCTCTACCTCGCCCTGCCCCAAGCAGTGCGGGGAGGGGGGGAACTGCAGATGTTGCAGCCTGTAACAGTTTGTCTCTGCTGCTCCTTCCTCCTCACACTTTTTCCCTGCTCCAGCATGGGTCCCTCTCCACACACTGCAGTTCCCGGCAGGAAAGACTGCTCTAGTGTGAGCTCTCTATGGCTGCAGTTTCCTTCAGGGCATATCCGCCAGCTCCAGTGTGGGGTTCTGCATGTATTGTAGTGTGGGTATCTGCTCCAGCCTAGTCATCTCCATGGGCTACAGGGAAGTACCTGTTCTACTGTGGTCTCTTCCAAAACTTCCACGGGCTGCAGATGGCACTTGTACTGCCCTGGCACTTGTAGCACCTCCCCCCACTTCTTCTCTGACCTTGGTGTTCGCAGGATTCTCACACTTTTGCACCCCTCCTCTCAACCCTCACTGCTTCTGCAGCATTTGCTCTTTTTAAAATGTGTTTTCATAGAGGCACCACCTGCTTCACTGAGTGACTCAGCTGTCCTGTAGTGGGTTTGCTGCCAAGCTGGCTGTGCCTGGCATGGGGGCAGCACTGGCCCCTTCTCACAAAGGCCACCCATGCAGCCCCCCAGCTACCAAAACCTTGCCACCTACACACAATAGAGCTACTCAGAACAGCGGCAATACCATTTGTGATTTAACTCAACTACCACCAGAAGAATCATGGAATTTTAATCTAGTCTTTTTGGAAGGACCAAACTTTATTAGAATGTTTTGTTTAAACACACAAAACACAATTTCTGCTACATAATAAGGATGCTGCTAGAACTTACAGCTGATTTAGCTAAATCAAACAGGCTCTTAAGAAAGGTGTCAAGGGAAACACCCCTGCCCCCCCCCAGAAGTCCTTCTTGCCAAAGGACTTTTCCTTTCTGAAAGGAGAGAGTTTTCAATCACTAAACTATGACACCACCATAAAGAGGTGAGATCAGAAAGAAACCAATCTCCTAAAACCTTTTCAGAATTAATAGCTAATTTGTAATCTATTCAATCCCAACTGATCTAGGAGGCTGTCTCATTAGATCTGAGCAAATTGCGAGGAACAATAACTAATACTTTTTTTTTAATTGTGACAAGATGATTTTGATGAAAATATTTACGTAATATGTGTACATATTTACATGTGGAAGCACTGGGACAGCTAGTACATTTACCACCTGGATTTATCTAACCCAACGCCCCTACACATGCTGAACTGCTCACAACGTAGTCTATTGTTTACCCTGCGCTACAGTCCTTTCGAATTTAAGAGAATGTAATTCGTGAACCAGTCTCAAGTCCACTTCCCTGTCCACTTTCCTCCCTCAAAAGTTACACTTATTATATTAGTAGAAATTAAGTCCCTGGCAAAGCCCCAGAAGACAGCAGAACACTAGTAGTTAGGAAAAGTAAAAATAAATGTTCTTTTTCCTGCTGTTGAATCCTAAAATATTGTTCCTGCTGAGAAAACCCTAAACAAGCAGCACATTTGAATACAAGGCTGGCTTACTTTCTGACTGTACAATTTTGGTAAGTGGTCGTTCTCCTATTTATAATTTCCACAAAGACCTTTCAGTGATATATACAGACTTTAGACAAAAATCAGATACAGACCAGCAGTAATTGCCTTTTAATGACTATGGAAAGTTTTGCTACCTTCTGAAAATTTACCTGAGTTCTGAGAGTTCTGGAAAAGTATCAGGAACATCAGGCATCTTGTAAGTAAATCCATTCTGGCCAACCTAAACAGAAGTTTGGAAATGCTTAGCAGATTTTTTGAAGAGCAATTTCTTGATATTTAATCTGATTAATCCAAAACTGGAGATGAGTATTTGCCAGCAACAAGAAAAGTAGGAAAAGCAGTAAGAAGCAGTAGGACTAGTCTCCAAACAGAAGATGTCTCAACTCAGCCATGGCAACAAAATACTTGGGGATGTTTGGGGTGGCATGTCATAGAACATGAGTCAATTTTGGAGGAAAATAATTCTGTCTTGCCATGTCCTCCATTTGACAACAGTTGGATGACCCAGGAAACACACAGGAAGAGTATGACTCAGGGAAGTGAGAGCAGAGAAAGAGAATGACATTTGATCTTTTTCATGTGGTTTTCAAAGCTATATCTCTTAGGAAAAAAGTCTTTGACAAGGAAAAAAAAGTCTGTCTTCATAGAATGTAGAAATTTTAAATTCTACAAAGCTAGAAAAGTGTCTTCCAAAGTTAAGAAAGCTTTTGTTTCTAAAGACAAGATTTGATTAAAGACTAAACATTTAGATATAAAGTTTTTGGAGGACATTAAAAAAAAGTCCTTCCAGAGTGCATCAGTGAGAGGGAGTTTGTGAGTACACACATACAAGATCTGTGAAGAGAAGCTATTTTAAGCATGAAAACAAGAAGTAAATACTCTACACATAAAGGCTTGAGACTGCACGTCGTTCTCACCTGATAGGCTCTGGGCAGGAAATCCCGTATAGAGAAAAGGATCTAATTTTCTATGGCTGGAGAAACAATCACAGCTGCACTATGGGGGAGTGCAGCTCCAAAAAATGGGTATTCAAAGATATTTAGCATAACACTAGTTTCTCTGAAACTCAGAAAGACAAACTTGTTGCTCTGACTTCAAGTTTGTTCTAAAAAACTTTTCATCAAAGCCAGAATGACAGTTTCATTTTCCTAGCTCCAGCAAAACAATGAAGTGCAGTCGCTCAGACTGTTCCCTTGAGTTTTGCGGCAATGCCCAGTGTGCCCTTGAGGGAACTTATACCCAGTGTCTGATAGCTTAAGCAGCAAAACTCAGTGCACAGACCTGAAGCACTGCTTCTGCTGTCGGAACAGGTAGTGGCAGATCAGCAATAAAGCCGTAAGAGGGAGCAGCAGGCTTGTCTGTAGTGTAGCTTGAAGAAACTGATTCAGCAACAGGCACGGCTGCCATTGTTCTATTTGTTTCTTGAGGTGGGTATGGAGGAAGAAATGGAAACCCCTGAGGAGCATAAGGAGGCATTCCAGCTGGTTTGTTGAAAAGGCTAAAAACAAACAAACAAAAAAACACAACCATGAGCAACCAACTGCTTACAGCACATTTCTTATCATTTGAATTATAATTACTAGACCACATACAAGACATAAGATTGAATTTTTAAATGACCATAAACTTTGCATTTTCTGTTCTCAGTTACTTCCAACATAGTAAGTCTACTTTATGTCTTATACTGCAACATAATATACAACTCCATTAAATCATATTCTTGTAGAGCAGCCAAATACACACTTACACTCTTAATTATAAGAAAACTACTTCTCAAAAATTTATGAGTGTAAATTTAAATTGTTTCCATTGAGAAGTCCTGAGAAATGCATCTGTGTCATATGTTAGACCTTATTTACAGTATAGCATTTAACAGCTTGAGCAACACACCCATAATTACTTCTAAATAACATGATTTTTTTAAAAATTCACAACTGCGGCTGCATCTAAACTCAGTATCATTGCCAGCCACGAGAACCATACTTGCACTGATAAAGCTGTAATGTCTCAGACCACTTTTGCATATTTAATACAATTATTTAAATTGCACAATTTCTGCTGCACAGCTGTGCAACAGAAGCTGCCTGTAAGCCCGGAAGATTATGAACAGAATATGAAGAAACACAACTGCTCAGATCACGATCTACAGCAAATTCAAGATTTCATCTGATAATGTAAACATTTATTCTTTTTCAAGAAAACGGAAGCACATAAAGTTACATCAGCATGTTGATACAGTAACTCCAATGAAATCTAGTGTTTCTTCTCAATACAATCATGCCATTAAGTTTGCACATGAAATTGTGCAAGGGCAGGGAATCTATGCCTCCCAATACATCCACTACATTATTCCCATTCCTGCCCTCCTAATATTTGGTTTCATCTTTTTTTTAAAAATGTAAGTTAATACACATGGTTCCATTCACCATGTTTATAGATACTTACTATGGAAATGATGTTGAGCTAGAAGCCAGAACTGGAGGATTCTTCCAAAACTCGTCCAGTAAACTTTGAATAATTTTTCCAAGATCCGAGTGCATTGTAAACTGGCAATACCAAAAAACCAAAACCCAATGCAGAAGAAAAATTATGCTTGGATTCCAACAGTTCCAAAATGTGCTGAACTTGACTGTTTATTATACCCCCACGGCAGTGCCAGGAGCCATTTCAGAGACATATCAGCTAATGGAAACTGTGTATATGTAAGCTCCAAATAAAGTGATAAAGCCACCCAGAACCGAATAGAAACTAAAGGTCTTTTGTATATTCCATTATCAATGGAGAATTAATCAAGTACAACATTTCTGATGAACCACCGAAAAACCCCACCTTAGTTACCAAGTTACATTTGGGAAAACAGAGAAAGAGGAAATCAAGATTTGAGACAAAAAGCATTAATTGCATTCTGAAAAAGTCATAACCTCCCTCCCACCCCACCAAAAAATACCACATCCTTGTTGGCAGAGAAAAGGGGGGAAAAAAAAAAGGAAAACAAAAAAAGGACAACAACAAAAAAAGAAGAGCATATTAAAATCCTAAATATTAGGGATAAAACCTTGACATCTTTCTATTAGGATTAGGGTAGAAAGACCTACGTTGCAAAAGAGTCTTAAAGCATCCTTCTCCCTTATATGGAATACACAGTAGAGAAACAAGAACTGTGCTATTGGTACTAACAAGAAAAGTAATAGGAATTTTCTAAGCCATCATAACTTAAAATAATTTCAGATATATGCAATACTCAACTCAGTAATGGTAGCATTAAAAGAATAAATAGTAGTATACTGAACACTACTGAATTTTTGCTTTCAGAGCCCTCAAAATACAGTTTGAGAGGGACTAGGATCTGTACTAGTCTTTTTTACCAGAAGTATTAGCAATAATCTAGTGTGACATGTATTAAAATTGCTATTAATAGTAGATATATGTGAAGCTACAAAATATGCATACATTACTTATTAATGGGCCGGTCACATATACTCCCTGCTTGTCCATCAAATGATGTCTCACAGGTGGGAAAACACTGATGACTGGTTTTTCCTGAGGAAACTGAGGTGGAAGCAAGCTGCAAATACAAGAATAATCATTACTATAGCTACCACCCATGATAAAGTTTGCATAAGAAGGCTTCTTATGCAAAGAAAAAATACTATTAATTACATAAACTTACTTTTCTACAAGAAGAGTTATGGAGAAATACAGAATGATGAAGCACACAAAAGGATTATTCAGTTACAAAATTGGAAGTCAGACAGATTAGAATATCAGACTTCCACGGAACTGAAGGGAGCATTTAGTGGGCAAAATTGTAGAGTAACAATGAAGCAATTATGTCCAAGGACAAAGAAAAAGCTGTAGCATAATGAGAGTATCTTCTAATAGAAGTGTTATTACTACAAAGATAATGCAGTGTAACCTGCAAGAGTATCAGGCAAGTTTATCAGGCTAAAGTAATAAAAAAACGTGTGAATAGAATACCATCAATATTTGCCAGAGCAAAAGCACCCCCCAAAGTAAATTCACAGGAAATGTTACAATAAATCACTTAAGTTATCCAGAAGCTTCACTGGGGCAAGAGTTACAAGTTACAGCAGATTAGTAAATGACTAATTAAGTTTATTTGCAGTTGTAGGGGATTCAAAGTCATCAGAAACCCTCAAGTGTTTTCTCCTACTTACCTTCAACTAAAAACATGGAGATATCTTAGGAGCTGAGCACAGCAAAATATAGTTTTGCTTTCAGCTGAGCATCTGTATCTTGTACAGAACTAGTTTCACTCATGGCACTAAAACTACTAATGCAAATCCAGGTTATAGTTCCTGAAATTAGTTATGAGATGGGACCCATTTATGTTCTATTACTACTTTTTTTTGAGGAAAAAAAATTAATTTTCAAGATGTGCATAGAGGTATCTCACTCTACTTACATGTTAATATTAATTGTCAAGTTGTTTACAGTGAATGGCAGCCGATATTCCACATCTTTCTGAATTTCTGCAATGCTGTCAAAGAAGAAATTGTTAGCATCCAATTCATGGTCAATATAACAGCCTGAAGTCTAAAAAAAAGGCATGACCTCAGACCTTTCTATTTAGTTTAGTTCTGAAATGTCTTGTAAGAATAAAATTGAAAATGCTGGAATAAGTTAATATGCTTTAGAATGCTACATTGAATATTAAGATTAAAGCAAAAAATAGTAGATTCAGCTTTTAAAACTCATACATGATCACAAGCAATGGAAATACAGCAGGAGAAATTGTGCTACTCACTGATCTGACAACAATCTCAGCTTATTTTTCTCCACTTACTGGCTTAATTTAAGACATCACATCAGTGATTTTTTTTTTTATATACTGAATTTTATCTGATAAAACATTTACTTTGCCAAGGCATCACACTTGGTTCACAACTAAGTATTACTCTGTAACACTGCCTACAGATCAATATTTAGAACATACATTACACTAGACCTTCTTCCTTGATAGATTAGCTTACTATTTAATAGTAGTTTTTTCCACATGGAGCAAGTTCTGTGTACTTGCACAGATATTTTCAAGAATTATCTGGAGAAGAGCTACTTGCAAGAATATAAAGCTCTGTAATCCAGTGACACTCAAGACACAGACCCCCCTGAAAGCACCAGCTGAAGAAACATGCATCTTATGAAATCTGGTAAGACCAAATCCAAATTTGCTTCTCCTCTAACAGATAAGTTACTGAGAAAAATCTTTAAAACAGCTGCATTAATAGGAAGTTGATTTCACTACTCAAAGCACTCTACAATTTGAATGTACTGCAAGGCTGTCTTGAAAGGTGGCATCCCAAAGAATGTGGAAGAGGAGGAGGAGTAGAAGACTTGGCTCAGAAGCAGAATTTCTGGATAATACGAACATGCATAAGCTGGGACTCGGAGAGAAAGGAGGGCAGAAAAATAACTTCATCTTATAATGCCTCAATCAAAACAAACTTAAAAAGCAGACTGATTCTTCTTCCATGTATTTTTGCTGCCTGCACCTGGTTAATAATACTCTTCTCCTTCATCTCTCTAAGGTTCCCTTATAAAGGGAGGGAACACGGCTCCAAGTGGGAATAATGGCAGCTGCGTGTTCCCAGAAAGCCTCTTTGCACCCAGCTTCAGAAATGCCCCTCCATCCACTGCCAGGTACACTCCATACAATTACTTCCTCAAAAAAACCCAAACATATTACCTGCAAATTTATGTTAAGTGTACTGCTAGGAGTGTTTCACATCCCTCCAAAACATTATCTGCACACAGAATTTAAAACGCCAGTTTTCAGAGCTTCGGGAATAAATGGAGTAAGACACAAACCTAGCTATGCACCTTGCTTTCCACAGCCCAGCTTTATTCCTCTTACAGACAACTCAGTATCTGCTCTTTCCCTGCGAAATCACATGCTGTTTGAAGACACTATCAGTTATCTTCAGCACAGGAGAATCAGAGTTTAGGGCTCTACTGTGATACACCACACACCAAAATCACCACCTCCTCATTCTTAACTGCAGGATTCTCACTGGAATGTCACACACGTTCCTGCCCTGTAATCATGTCACGCATTTTAATAGCCTGCTACAAAATCCTTTTGAGAAGGGTATATAATTATGGTCCACTCATGTGCACAACCTATAGGAACTCGGGAGGAAGAGGAGAACAGGGAGAGAGAAACGAGAAATCCAGAATCTCATTTTGCTGTTCAAACTGTTACAAGCTCCTTTAAGCAAAACCTTGAACTGATAAACTTGGCTGTCCCTTCCCCAAATGGGAATGGCTACACTGGAAAAATGACACATTCTTAACTTTGGCTAGAACAACAGCAAATGTAAGAAAACTGTTTTTTAAACACAAAAACTTGATTTCAAGCTCCTAAACTGTGAGGGATCCTGAAAAGGAAGAGTAGCTACTTTAATGAAATTAAGATCACATATACCTGGGCTTTTACGGCCTAAGACAACACAAACCAAACTTACTTAACTTCAGTAACTACACCATGCCAAGAATTGCATTTTGAGCATTTCAGTGAGAAGCAGCTGGGATACACATAAATGAATGCCAAAATATACTTATCAGACAAAACAAACACTAGAATGACATTTATTTATTCATTGCTTAGGAAACAATGCTGTTGCAATGCTTAGTGCATATTCCCATCCTATAGATCTGTGCTGCTATGGAGTCCATAAGAAAGCACATCAGTCCCACCCAAAAACACTTTGCACTTTTGAAAACTTGCACAATACACACACCTACAAGCACTGAATCTGAGGCACTGTTACTCAGATTTATTCAGTAATAAATATCTCTTAGGAAAACTGTACACTTTGCCAGAATTTACTCCTTCCTTGCCTAATTTTGGGGTTTTTTTTTTTACACCTATCATCAAGAGAGGTCAGGTAGGCTAGTTTACGTGGCTGTAAAGTTACATTTGAGCAGCTGCCGTCTCCCTACCCCTCATCTCCATTCCTGGCTGCAGGGTCCATTCCCTCTCTGCCTATGCTTGAACTGGTGCCTGCACAAACAGGTAGTAAACCAGTCCAGCAAGCTGACTTTGAGAAAAATTGATCACCTGTTTTGAGGACTTAACTTGGGGTGAGCTCATCTCCCTGGTAGAGAAAAAAAGTATAGTAATAAAAGGCTAAGTAAGGCCAGTCCAACAAAAACTTCCACTTAGGTAAGCTGCTGCGTACCCACAGACACAGCTCCCTAGAAAATTGAACTGCCTTTCAAAAATATTTGTGAAATTGGCTTTGAACAGGTTTAAGTTTAAGCAAGCAACAATACTTAGCAATACTGTCATACTTATGTTTCCTGTGTGGCAATTCAAAATACTAGGATAGTGATCTGCAATTATTAAACTTGGAAATACAGTAAGTATCTCTTCCGCTCCTAGTCTCAGCCTGACATAACAGAAAACATTCTCCTTTCTTCTTCTGGATTGTTTTGGAGGCATCTACTGTTCGACTTCAACAGACATCCTAGGAAACATGATGAATGTTTACGCGTTCACTGAAAATATAACTTGAAATACATGGAGTGTGGATCTCCTTTTAGAAGATGAACACTTTTAAAAGACTAAAATGTAGGCAAAACTGATCAGCATAGCGACAAGCTGAAGTGTCTCAGGATAGAGGAAGGTGTTCTGCTGTAAAAAGTGTGGCTGTTGAACAGGGAAGAAACACCTGCCTCTGCTGAGCATCTAAATAAAACAAGTTACTAAGGAACAGTCGGTTATTAGCAAGCTAGCACTGTACATCAGAAAAGTAGTTTGTAGAGAGAGTAGGGCTGCTATGCCACTGCCGATGCGAGCACTGCGACGCATAGCTCCTTTATACTGTATGTTTTACCCCGAACTTTTAAAGAACTACCTACGCCCCTACAGCCAGTTTCCAGAAAGAGGGCTGTATTCCAACTCAGGCAATCCGTACCTCTTTGCACACTTAAAAAAACCCCATTAAATAACGCAGCTGTCTTTCCGGTCAAGCGGCCGGGGTTAAGTGGGCACCACGATCTGCGCCCGATCCCCCGGCCGAGCCACACCGACAACCCCCCCAGCCAGCGGGGACGGCAAATCATGCT